TAAGGGTCTTTAGCTCCTAAATTGACTAAAGCATATATACAAACTGACGTCAAGCATTTGGGATTACCATTTAAAAATTGCTGTTTTCTGAGACACTAATGAAGGCCATTCATATCAGAAAATCCAGTGGCTACAAAAGGAAGAGTGAGCCACCCAGACCCCAGAGTAAGGAGTCAAGAGAATGGTCTGCAGCTCTCAGAATTAAAAACCCTGCCAGTTTGCTTTAGACTGCAAGAAGGGCCAAATACAGAGAATATGGAAGAGCTTCTTCCAGTCTGTCCAGCTCTTGAAGATTTGGGAATGTAGACATCACCACCAGTCCTCGCCCTGGCACCGTTAGCAGCAACACTTCTATCACCCTCTTTACTCATGGCAGTCCTTGTATGGTGGAAGCCCATCCCAGCTGTGCACTGGAGCTGCCCAGCACATCACACTGTGCAGTTGTGTGATGCTAGTGAACTGCTCCAGAGCTGTGACAAGTCACCTTCCATATTTGGTCTTCAGGGTCTCAGTTAAGTAGCTGAAACTTTAAACAAGTAAGATCTCATATAAGATCATAAGCAGTGATGGACTTTATCTGGATCTCAGTCTTTCTCCCTCTTAAGCATGACAAACAATTACACTGGAACCCGTGGAATTAAAAGTAAGTATTATAAGGCAAAATGCATTCCTGAGTAGGTGTTTGTACTAATTCAAGTGCTGAAGTCATATAGCCAAATGGCAGCACACTCTGAGGGCCAAGGTATTCTGCTTCTCAGCATGATTAACTTAGCAGGATGGAGCACAGTGCTGTATGGCTTTTGGCCCCTGTACTGGCTTAATGAGCATTGGCCTGCACATCCCTAGGTGATGTATATTTCCACAAAGTTGTAAGTCAGGAATCTCCTAGAGAAAAAAAGGACTAGAGATTTTAAACATTCCTTCTACTTCAAAGTTCAAGCAATCATACACTTTGGGACAAGTAAGACATTTACATTGCTGCAGGTAGTAAAGATCTCCATGGAAAACCACAACTTTGGATTTGAAAAACTGGTGCCTTTGGGCACAAAATACCCAGTGCATTCCCAGCACCTCCTTAGGACTTATGCCAAAATAGCAGTTTTTCCTTTGCTATCTGTGCCAGCCGCCCAGGGGCCAAATGCAGGGCAAGTACTGGGGGCACTACCTGCTTCTATAACTTCCCTCTTGTTCAAAAAGTAGTGAACCAAGTGGCTGAACCTTTGATGGAACCATCCTAGAAGAAATAAGCCATTCCACATGGTACAAATTCACCATCAGGCCAGTGGACAACTTGCTAATTATGAGCACAGAGACTTGCAGCTCTTAAAATCAAAGTTCCCCTGCCCAAGTGGAGACAGACCTGTGTTAGCTTAAAACCCTGAGTGGTGCCATGGCTCCCTGGCAGCAGCAGAGCTTGCTCCATTCCCTGGAGCAGGAGGTGAAAGGAAGGGAAACTCCCTTCTCCAGGGGCTGGCTCAGGACTCTCCAAGGGGAGTAAGGGAAGACAGGTGCAAGTGGAGGCCATTTGCCAAACAAGGACAACACTCACCTGGTCCCACCAGCTCTGTGACCCAGCCTGGTCATTAGGTGCCAAAGTGGCTGTGCGAGGGGATGCATAGCTATGAACAGCTCTGGTTTAGCAAGGGGCTGCACCAGAAGATAAATTTACTACTACAACAGGGGATGGACCACAGAGGGATTTAGTAGCTGCTGATGTGCAGGAAGAGAGGGGAAGAGAGTAGTCTCAGATGTTTCAGCTGCAGTTTGCAGGCAGAACTGGAGGAAAAAACGCCGGTCTGCAAGCCTCCCCCTTGAATACAGGGCATATTGCATGTATTCAGGGCCTAGGATACACTAAAATAGAAAAACATTTGGTTTCAGTTCACATCTTAGTGGTGGCTCATGTTTTATTTACAGAAAGGGCAGAAGTTTCCGTGAGCAAAGAAATCCCCTTTCTTTCTGTGCAAGTTTAAAAAAAACAGTAAGCAGCAGAGCAATGCTAGTGAACTCAGGACTTCAGTCACCTGCTTCCTAATTCTCAAAGCAGCTAAAGCCTTGCAGTCTTTTTTTTTACCTTGTATAGTCACAGGACTAGTCAAGCAAAACCTTGATTGGATTATTCTGCTTTAATTACAAAATGCACTCAGACCAAAGGCGCAATAGTACCTGGTACATATGTACACATTTCTCTCAATTATAACACCAAAGACCAAAATGCCTTCTGCTCCTGCTGTACATCAAACATCTCCCTCTGGCAAGATCTCTGGAGTATGAACAGACATCACAGTTGAGCTTGAACTGCCTCCTGTGTGCAGGACACCAGGCTCTGTATTTATTTATCATGTATTTTGAGATCCTTTAGGGTGGACCATACAAGAGATAAGCAAGAGAACAGACGCAAAACTGGAACCCTGGGGTGACTGGAGTCCACATCCCACCACCCCCTGGAAAAGAAAGACAGAGATGGGTCACTCTCCCCTCGCTGCAGTTAGAACAAGGTAGATAAATCACAAGGGTTTTTTTATTGCTGGTGAACTCAAAACAGGCAACTTTAATCTACCAAGGAAGATACACATACAAACAAATGTTAGGCCTTGTGCGTTTGTTTCTTCTTAATGTAAATGTCTCTACAACTTCACTCCAGCTCCTGAGCTCTCACTGAGCTGCCACCGAGATCCTGGCAATGTGCTCTGGGCACCTCTGCAAGATGTTATAAGAAGCATCACATTTATTAAAAAGGGAGATTTTGCAGGAAAGACAAAGCTCTGACTGCAGCCATGTTTCTCAGAAAGGAGAAATCTGGCTAATCCTGCTGCATTAGGTATGTGGTATTATACATAATCAATTGATTTAATAATTTGCTGGGTCCTTGTCTGTTTCTGGTGTGCAAGCTGCAAGTAAAGTGCACTTCTGGGTATAAATTACCACTCTATGAAGATGCAATAGCTGGGTGGTGTATCAGACATCAGTGGAATGCAGACTACAACAGCTGTTACAATGGCGCAGGCAGTAAGGATAATGCACTAGGATACTAGATGCTGCTGGGAAACCCTTCCATAGTTTGAGCATCTAAATATTACATCATTGACCAAAACAAGTGTCATTTAGTTGGGGCCTTCTAAAACACAGGCAGAGATACGACTGTTATTGTGCACCAGGTTAGCTCTGTGGAGAGTCACTCCTCCAAACCACATTCCCAACTCCTTTTAACCTTTCTAAAGAGTTTTGTAACAGTTAAGGAGAAAGCAGGGATCCCAAGGATGTTTCTATGAAGCTGAGGGTTTTAGATGATGCAGGGGTGGTGTAGGAGGCAGCACAACACCACACTTATGCTATGCTGTGAGAGGACAACCCAGCTTTAGACACTGCTTTTGACAACCCTGACAGAAACAGGGTCCAAATGGTGAGATCCCAAATCTCATCTGCACCTTGTAATTCTTGTTCTGCTCCAGTGGAGTTCATCCACATTATCCCACACACAAATCTCTTTTCTTCCCTCATGTACAATGTCAGGTGACTATTTTGTCTGGGTGTCTATGCCTGAGACCAACAAGGCTGATAAACTACATACTGTTCCTCTGATTTCATACTGGCATCACAGCATGAAAAGAACTATCTGTTCAGTGTTTGTTCTCTTTTAATTTAATGAGCTATAAAAAGGTAACTCTAAATACCCACCTAAGTATTCTCAGTGCTTCAGGAGACATTGCATACCCAGGGCAGATTTGATTAACTCCTTGCTATCACTGTTTTCATGTGTCCATTGCCAGCAACAAATGCCACGTGAGAAGGGGGAAGGGAGGAATAAAATAATTGCACTCTGTGTGATACAGAAAAGCATTAACACTGCCTTCATAAGAGCAGAACCAAGAAACAATTCCCCTCACAGGGCCAGCAGTGCTTTTCCTCTCAGGAATGGCTGCCCCAGGACAAGGAGCAGGTCCACAGCTGAGCACACCCTACCAGGGACAGGGAACCTACATAGAAATAGCCCAACAATTTCCAAAACAAGAGTAGAATCCTCCAACACATTTGCATTTCAAGCCAAATTGATCCCTAATGCTGCTCTACTGACTATGGTGGAAGAACAGCAAAAATTAATCTGCCCCTACAGGACAACTACAGCAAACCTTCCCCATAACCAAACCTTCCCCATAACACATCTGACAGCTGGAAGCTCCATGTTTGTGCTAATTTCAAAAGCCAAGACTTGCCACATTGAGTTATGAACTTGTGGCTGCCACTGTTGAGCACCTTCCCTGCACCACAACTGTCCTTATACTCTTTAAATAAATGTTCCTGATAGGTTAAATTTGAAACTGTCCCTGGTGCAGGTAGTTCTACAGCGAAGCTACAGCACTCCCTCCTGCTCCACCTCTCTACTGCTGCTCTTGCATCCTAACTCAAAGCCTCATTCAGGCAGAGCATGACGAAGTAAGTGCTCTTCAGAGAAGGGTTTTTTGCTTTTGTTTTGTTGGGGTTTTTTTTAATAAATGTATCAGGCAGCATGGTGTACCTCTTGCTGCCTCAAATTATTGTCATGACCATATGGTTATGGTTATTTAAAGCAGATTTTGGTAATAAAAAGCAAATCTACTTGATACACTGACAACACTGGGCAGACTGAACCAAGACCCGCCAGTGCTGAAGGAAGGTGAGAGTCAGTGCCAGAGGACCAAATCCTGGATACCACATTAGCCACGTGAAGGTTTTGACCTTCAAATACAATGGGTTGCAGCCAGACTAAGTCATCAACATCACCAGAAACAGAGGAATTCCTGGAAAGGAAGGCAGAAAACTCTTGTGGCCTGTATAGTCTCTACAAGGTTTGCATGGCTGAGATGGGAGCTGGAATCTGCAGCAGACCCTTAGGCAAGGTCTGTTTTGAGAGGACAGAGGAGATGGGAAGACTTGCACTATTTCTTGTGCCTTTTGCCAAGATTCAGATTGCACAAATTACGGTAAAATTCACTTGGCAAAAAAGGCCTTTATTAAAAAGAAAAAAGAAAAAATTTCTAGTGAGTATCAGGACTGAGATTTCAAAAAGTACAAGATCTGTATAAATTCAGTAAGATGTCCAGCACCAGATTATATCATGGTGCAATAAAGAACCTGGGGAGAGGCCAATGGGACCTCACAAAGGGAACACCATCTACCTCCCCAGCAGACTACCAGTCTTAGGTTCTTCTCAACAGCAGATGGATTTTCCTTGTTCCTGCAGCATCTCAGGTCCCACGGGAGGTATTGGTTGCGAGCAAGCACCTGAATATTGCCTATGGAGTAAGCCAATCACTAACTCAGCTGGCGTGTCCATGCCCATCCACTAATTAGGTATTTTTCTTTCTGGATGCATTTCCGCCATAGCATCTCTTTTTCTTCTTTCTCCACGTAAAAGTGTAAGCAAAAGGACTGCTTTCATCAGTAATAAGTTAAAATCAGAAATGACCTAACTAACAAGTAACTGATATTGGTCCTTGGAGCCCAAAGAGTAAAATCCATAGAAAAATCTATTGGTTCCATTTTTTCTGGTATATCCCATGCACACCCCCATTAGAAAAATGGGGTTTATGAATCTTATCATACAGCAAGGAGCAGTACCTCAGAGCCAGATGTGACAGTCCATGGTACAGGTCTGGGCTCTCTCAGATTGCTAATTGTGGTTCTAAGTCACTGCTCAATCAGTCTTCACGTGGCCATTGGCCAAGGCAACAGGGACGGTGGGAGCCCCTGGCTCAGCAGTCTCATCAAATCGTAAGCGCAGGGTGTTTCTGATCACCAGCTGCTCCATGATGAAAGCAGCACAAAACCATGGGATGGCATACTCCAGGGTGATCAGGCCCATGAAGTCAAAATCAAACTGGGAATAGTCCCATGGGCAGGCATTGAACTGGCGTAGGATGAGGCCAGTGGTGAATTCCCAGAGGTATGTCCAAAGTGTGTAAATGAAGCAGCGCACTAAAATGTTACACTTGTCTTTGAGATATAGATACATCTTCTCCACAATGAGGATGGAGGTGCCATAGATGAAGAGTGCCCACACACTGGTAACACCTGGGAACTTCCAGTTAAAGTTGACCACAAACTCCCAGGCAGCTGTGAACATCACCTCACAGAAATAGCCATGGATGGCGTAGAGGTACCATCGAGAGAAAGCAGTCAGAGGTTCTGCTGCAGCCATTCTTCTGCACTCACCCCAGCAGCACTCTGAAACGAAGAGGGAGAGAGAGAGGCAGAGAGGAGTCAACAAGAATGTCACAAGTCCTTATCCCCCAGATGGCAACACACAAACTCGTAACACCCACGAAGGATAAATCTAAGAAAGAAGTAAATTTTAAATAATGTCATTTTTACCACAGCACATTTTAAGTCCTGGGGAACGGTGGCACCTTATAGGGCTCCAAGACTCAGAGTGGGCCTGAACAACATAACACTGCTCTGCCTGAGAAACAGGGTGTTGCTGGTATTGCGTAAGTGATAAGGAGGGAGTTGACAAGTACAAGGGCTTTGCCAGGAGCAAGATTGCCAAAGAATTTACTGGTTGCAAGTCAGTAGAAAAATACAGTCATCTCACAAGGAGCGCACATCCCCTTCTTTGCTCTTTTCAAGAAACAGCACTGTCCCCTACATTTCTGAATCTAACATGGAGCAGATTAGATGAACACAGCTTTGAAAACCTGGGCCTTTCCAGCTCTATATCCAAAATGTTTACTGCAGTGAAAAACTAAGCTTTGATGGGAGCTACAGCAAGGGAACTGGAGGAGAAAATTTCAGAGATTTTACACTTACAGACAACACATCTTGCACCCATTGTCCAACTGAACTGTTATTTTGTCTGTTGGAGAGCTCATGCAGTATATGGCTACCATTTGGAAAATAATTTTCTTACGGTGTCCAACAGCCTGATACCAAGTCAAAAAGCATGAGAGAGCCATTTAAATCCTTTCAGATTTGACTTCAGGACAGCAAAACACGTAAGAATAAAAAGGAACAGCTGAGCATAGTAAGAGGTGGTTAGTCATGATAAATAGGAAAGGAGAACAAACTCTAATTGTCTTTACAGGAAGAAACTTGGTGAAGAGGTTTTGAAAAGGCGTAATTTGCTTACCACTGAACTGTTTCAGCACAGCTAGTTTTTACACTTTTTGTAGAAATTTACAAGTCTTCCATGCTACAGCAACTGACACAAGGTGATTTTAAGCATAATTTTACTGAAGCCTTACAGATTTACACCACAGGGTAAATTTCGTCTCTTTCATTCTTAGAAACTTACTCCTTCAAGTTGAGTTTCTCTTGAGTCTTTATCAGGCACTATTTAACTTTGCTCTGCACTTGTCAGTTCTGTGGCACGATGTGCTAGGAAAGGACCACACTAACCTTATGTACAGTCATTCCATGCCATCTGGAAAGAGACTGTTCCTGCCCTGCCCTGTAAACATAGTACCTCTCTGAACAAAGCATGAACATGCAGTATGACTGAAATTCTGATGGGAGATAAGAGAAACTCCTACAAGAAAAAAAAAAAGAACTATAATAATGAACATAAAAATATGCACAGGGGAATATTGAAAGTGAAAAGGACAGAGCTGTATCCATGACCTGTTCACTCCTCTCTTAAACAGACACACAACCAACCAAAGCCTTGGTAGTTCATGTGATGGGGGTGCTTGAACATAGACCCAATCCCTAATGGCACAATCCATCTTACACAGGACACTGAGCTATCATCAGATGCTACAGATATAGGTCAACAGCACATTGTGAGCTTGTAGGTGAAAGACTAAAGAATCATTAGGGATTCCCTCATGTCTCCTAACAGTTCAGTCCCAATAGACCCTGCAAGACAGCAGAGGAGGTGGCACATGAGAAATATGCAGGTGGTGTATCTCCAGAGTCCACAAGAAGCTGATGTGTAAGGGCACCGCAAACGGAGGAGAATGAGTTTGTCAATGTAATGTTACCTGGTTAGTTTGCCAGCACAGCTGGTAAGCTTAGCTCGTATCATTCCTCCATTCTCACATAATTTCAAGAACAAATCAGAAGTCAGAGGTACAGAAGTAAGGGAAAGCAGTAAGAAGACACCATGATTTAACCCCAGTCAGCAATTAAGTGCCACACAGCCACTCACTCACTGCTCTCCAGTGGGATGGGGAGAAGAATCGGGGGGAGGGGAAGTAAAACTCATGGACTGAGCTAAGAACAGTTTGATAATTGGAACAAAGTAAAATGTAATAATAATGTAAGGAAGATACACTAAGGGGACTTCAACAAGTCACAGCATATCACTACACGAGCTGGGGACTGTACAATTTAATGGTTACAAGTCACTTGAGCATTTACAAAACAATTAAAACCACAGCTTTTCCCAAGCATCTTATTTTCCAGCCACACCAAACTGTTTGGTGTCTGGTAGGCAATACAGCACAAGAAGGTCTCGAGAGGGTCATGAAGGAGAGAAGTGTTGTTTCATTGGGCAGCAATTCATGATAAAAGGATCAAGCTGAAAAGTAGTTGCAGGACATTAGTAGGAGAAGCATCCAAACAGAAGGCCAAGACTGGATTAAGTAAGAAATGCAGACCTGTGAAAAGCCTCATTAATTGAACTTGGTGATGCAAGACTTTTATTGGAGTGACAGTAATACAGACCAAAAGGCTCTGAATGTATGATAGCTGTTCAGTCTCCTGGGGAAAACAAATGACATCCACTGCTGAGGTACTTACAGTAGGATAGGCAGTAGCTTCCTGAAAATCACATACACAATTGTCTCAGCAGAGAGCAAGTAAGTCACAGAGGCCATACATGGACAGCCATGCTTGCACCAAGGCTGTTCACACTGTGTTGTTTTGAGGAAAATAGGGAACTTCTAAATTCAAAGCTATGAAAACGCTTTCCAGCATCAACAAATTATATTTCAAACAGCTAAAGTAGAAATAGTTCCTCTAATACAATGTTATTAGGAAGCCTGAGCTAGGCCAGCACAAAATTTTTCCATCTTTCTCCAGTAGAAGCTTCTTTTCCAGCTTGATGATAGAAGACGAAAAGGCAAGTCTATGGAAGTCACACGTGGGCCTCAGAGGAACACGCAGTCCCTTCCCTGATTGCTCTGCCTGTGTGGATAACTGCTGGCAGCGAAGGGGCCAAGAGCCTCCTCCACCTACAGCAAACAAGCACAGGTATCAGGGGGAAATGTACGAAAGGCTGAGTTTCTCTACAGAAATCTGGTTCAGAGGATGAAGGAGTAGAGTGCCTCCTCAGCAAGTTCATCGATGACACAAAGCTAGGAGGAGTGACTGATACCCCAGAGTGCTGTGCTGCCCTTCAGAAGGGCCTTTACAGGCTGGAGAGATGGGCAGAGAAGAACTGTCTGAAAATCAACAAAGGCAAATGCAGGGTCCTGCACCTGGGGAGGAATAACCCCATGCAAGGACAAGAGGCATCAGGCAGAAACTGATGTTACTGTGCAGGTGACCAAGCACTGAAACAGGCTGCCCAGAGAAGTTGTGGAGTCTCCCTCACTAGAGATACTCAAGAAACATCTGGATGCAATCCTGTGCAATGTGCTCTATGATGGCCCTGCTTGAGCTTGACCCACTGTGGTCCCTTCCAGCCTGACCCATTCTGTGATTCTGTGATCAAGGTAGGACTTTGACTTATGGCTGCAAGAAAATAATACTGTAACAGCACCAAGATTACACTTTTATATTTTAGAATATCAACTCTGAAATGGATATTAATAATCTCCTAGGGTGAGGTAAAATACAGATAATCCTGATGCACCAGACCAAGTAAGGAGAAAGGACACATCCCAGCCTGCCCCAACTCACATGTGAGACCCTGCTGTGCAAGAGGAGCCCTTCCATACTTACGTTTGGTTTCGCAGGTGACACAACCCAGGCAGGAAAGAGGGAAGTGACTGGAAAGTGGACTGATGGTAGACCAAGACATAAAGGCAGCTCTGTCTCACACAAGCCCTGCAGGAGAGACATCAGTGCATGTCGTATTCATGCCTGATTAAGTTCTTGAGAGCTGCCTGGTTCGTTTTTTTTTTTCAAAGTTCTCCTTTGCAGTGGCTTTCTGCCTGTTACCCTGCTACCAAGCCAAACCGTCATTAAGAAAAGTCTCTCACAGATTGTCTCTATTCCCTCTAATCCAGCAGAATTATTTAGACTCACCACCCTTGGATGACCTCATTCAAGATACTCTGAATTAACTCTCAAGTGACAATAAAAGAAAAACACAAACAAAAAACCTCCAGGAGACAATTGCCCTGCTTAGTGATGGCCTAAGGCTATAAATTCTGTCAGCTACTTAATCCACCACAGGTGAATTTGAACTAATGCAGGAAGTTCCCTACTCTTAGTACCCAGTTATTTCAGCAAGTTAAAAAATTAGGGCACAGTATTATTTTGCAAATTAATATTTCAAGTCTTCACTAATATTTAATTCTAGAACACGCATGCTCGTATTTCGAAGAAATGCCTTAGACACATCTAACTCTATGTTACATGTCATAATTACTTTCAAATTTGAAAGAGTGACTGCAAAGGAGGCACATACATAGGAGGATACTTAAGTCTCTCCAAATGACATGACCATGAGCAGCAGGCAACACTGAAGTAAAAGACACCTGCCACTCCCTACCCATAAGCTCTACTGCTTATGATATTCTTATTACCCAAACAGTATTTATGTAAAAGTAACCGTTCTTCATGACTTTTTTATTACTTTAATTGGCATATCATTGTAGCTACTGTGTTTTTCCTTAAGGCTGGGAGAGTCAGATGCATATCTGCTTCTCTGCTTTAGCAAAGAGTACAGTAGATACACAAGGATATGTTGGTGAAAATTGACATGAATTTTTGGGCAATACCCTTTCTAATGTAATTCTTCTTTTCTTATTTTGCATTTCCACTGTGGGCAAACACCAAATAGCCTTTGTAACCACAGACAACATTCAGTGAATATGCAGCAAAACTGGCTTCAACATTTTTGCAGAAATCTCACAGAAACCATTAGGAGCAAAGATTCACAGAACACTGGTACTAGATTTGGCCCCAAGACATTAGTTCAGCAGTGTTTAAAGATTCATACAGTAAAGTCTTAGTGGTATTTATGTGCTGAAGTAATAACTCTGAGGAGATATTCATCGTTCAGGTAACTGAGAACCTCAATTAACTGTGGCTCAGAAAATAGAATTTCAGCTGCA